GAAATTAGGAAGACAGCTGCTTGAACAACTGACTGGAAGAGATCCATATTTGTACCCATTCTAAAGAAAAGTGACCCAACAGAATATTGAAACTATAGAACAGTATCAGTGATATTAAATGCAAGTAAAATTTTGTTGAAGATTATCCAACAATGGTTGCAACAGGGCATATAGATAGGGACTTGCCAGAGGTTCCAGTGAGACTCAGAAGAGGATGTGGAACAAGGACTATCATTGCCGATGTCATATGGATCTTGGCTGAAAGTAGAGAATGCCAAAAAGATGCTTACTTGTGCTATATCAAGGCATTCGAGTGTGTGGATGATGATAAACTATGGATACCCTTGAAAAGAATGGCAATTCCAAAATACTTCATTGTGCTCAAGAGGAACCTCTAAGGCAATTGTGTGAACAGAACAAGGGAATATTGGACAGTTTAAAATCAGGAAAAGTGTGCATCAGAGTGGTTGTATTCTCTCACCATACTTATTCAGTCTGTACACTGAGCAAATCATCAGAGAAACTGGCTTATATGAAGAAGAATGTGGCATCAGGATTGGGGGAAAGCTTATTTACCACTTTCTGTATACAGATGATACAACCTTACTTGCTGACAGGAGGACCTGAAACATTTACTGATGAAGATCACAGATTATAGCCTTCATTATGGTTGACGACTCAATGTAAAGAAGACCCAAATCCTCACAAATGGACCAGAATGCTTTTTATTGGCAAAGATGGCAAGACTTGGTCTTACAGACTTCTGACATATTCTCGGGAGAGACCTGTCCCTGGAGGAGGACATGATGGTTGGTAAAGTAGAGGGGCAGTGAAAAAGAGGGAGGCCCTCAACGAGATGGACTGACACAATGACTGCAACAATAGGCTCAAGTTTAGGAACAATTGTGAGGATTGTGCGGCAGACTGGGCAGTGTTTCCTTCTGTTGTGCATGAGGTAGCTGGGAGTTGGAACTGACACAATGGCACCTAACAACAACGACGTTTTTTCAACTCTTCCTATTTTTAAAATAATGTTTCTGTATGATTTAAAAAGCATTTTATTATATTTTTGGTAAAGTTGACGCAACAGTTTAGATTCCCATTCAATAATTCTACACAAATACTATGTGGTTTAAACTAGGAAAAGTATATACTGGGTTGTACCCTTCCACCATATTTATTCAATCTGTATGCTAAGCAAATAATCCAAGGAGCGGCACTATATGAAGAAGAGCAAGGCATCAGGATTAGAAGAAGGCTTGTTAGTGACCTGCCATGTACACATGAGACAACCTTGCTTGCTAAAAGTGAAGAGGACTTGAAGCACTTGCTGATGAAGATAGATCAAAGACTGAAATATATATGGACTGCAACTCATTGTAAAGAAAACCAAAACCCTCACAACTAGATTGATACGATCATGATAAATGGAGAAAATATTAAGCTTGTCAAGAATTTCATCTTGTTTGGATCCACAGTCAATGCTCATGGAAATGGCCGTCAAGAAATAAAACAACATATTACACTGGCAAATCTGGTGCAGAAGACCTCTTTTAAGTGTTGAAGGGCATGGTATTTTTCAATTACCTCATATGCATCAAAAATTGGACAATGAATAAGGAAGACTCAAGAAGAATTGATGCATTTGAAATGTGGTGCTGGCAAAGAATATTGAAAATACCATGGACTGCCAAAAGAAAAACATCTGTCTTGGAACAAGAACAGTCAGAATGCTCCTTAGACGCAAGGATTTCATTTCATGCACCTCAGACAAGTTATCAGGAGAAGCCAGTCCTTGGAAAAGGATATCGTGTTAGGCTGGGTTGACTAGAGAAACAAGTCCAGTGATACTCATATGTGTAAGAAAGAGCTTTATGTCAAGGAGTAATTAGAAAACATCCAAGCTCAGTCCAACTCAAGTCCATAAACTGGATATTAGTTCATAAGTCCTTCAGACTTATGCATCAGTCACATGCAATGATGAAGAATGCAGGAAGTTCACAGGTTGGTGGGTATAAAGTGGATTCAGTGGCAGTGGTAACATCACAGGGCACTGGCAGCAGTCAGGGTCAGCCAGCAAGAAGGTGAAGTCTGAGAGCAAAGGGGAGGTTCCCAGGACCGCCACACCCACAGGAGGCACCATCAGACTGTGACCTGATTGACCGGTTGAATACCATCCCTACACTTTTATATATCTTCAAGTTGAAATGAAATTATCTAACTACCACAAATACCATTCTTGATAAAGTAGAAGGTCGGTGAAAAAGAGGAAGACCCTCCAGGAGATGGATTGACAGTGGCTGCAGCAGTACGTAACAATTGTGAGAATGGCATGAGACTGGGCAGTGTTTCATTCTGTCACACACAGGGTCACTCTGAGTGAGAACCAACTTGATGGCACCTAACAACAACATGGTCTGCCCTATCCAAAAATATGTGCCTTAAAATTATCGAGCCTTTAGGTCAAACATTTAGTTTACTGTAATGTAGGTGTGGTAGTTACATAATCTGTTGTCAATTTGAAACTTAAGAGTGAAGGGGTGGAGTTTAGCCTGTCAATCAGGTCACAGCTTGATGACCCCATCTGGAGGGGCTAAGGAGATAAATAACTCGCAGTAGGTGGGACACATGCTCACTTTCTGTGAGACATTACAGACGACGGGCCACATGGAGCTATGCTGATGGCAGCTAGAGCCCTGGGAGCTGGAGGAGCCACGTGGAGACCCCTGCCAGCGCTGAGATGTTTCTATCACCACTGGATCCACAAGGCTTTCCACCCATGGCCTGTGATCTTCCTGCATTCGGAGTTATTGCATGCCTGCATGAATCTAAGGAATTTATGAACTAGTATTGGACATATAGGCTAATATTGGACTTATGAACTTGATCTGGACTGGACTTATATTTTCTTAATTTTTCTTAAAAAAAAATTACTTTTTATATAAAGTTCTTTCTTACACACATCTGAGTGTCTATGAATTTGTTTCTCTAATCTACCCAGACTAACACAATAGGAGATAGAATGATTATTTAAAGAATGATCATAAAGAAGTTGCATAGAAAAGCAACTAGAAAAATCTGGAAGACAACATGTTCTTTAAGACAACTTCCCGGGTCTTTTAAACAAATTACAATCATAAGAAAAGGTAATTATTAGATAAAAGAAGACTTAAGATGTAGATTACTACCTCATGAAGGCCTTCTTAGGAAACTAGGAAACATATGTTTTCCGATGTAACCTGTAAGATGTTGCCAAAATAACTTCTTGCTGTCTAGTGGACTCATGGCAATCACATGTTATAGAGAAGAAACACTCTGTGGGGTTTTCTTTTTTCCCAAACTATTTTATTAGAAGCTAACCCAGACACCATGTGAGTTAGTTAATTGTGCCAGCCTGGCCGACAATCACATGTGGTGCTGGTTGAAAGGCGGAGGGATAAATGGGTGGTGAAGCCTCGCCTTTCTAGTTCTCGGGTCTCTTGTTTTGTGATGGTTGCATCGGGTGCCGCTGCCTTAGCAGTTCCCTGCTTCAGCTTGCAAGCTTGACTTCCTACAAGACATCCCCAAGGAGAAGCCGCATGGATCTATCCCGATGCAGCCCTGGGTGCTGGAGCAGCCGTGTGGAGACCCCTGCCAGTGCTGAGATGCTTACACGTTCACTGACTCAGCTTTCCTCCTGCAGTCGGCATTATTGCCTCTGTTTTGTGAGGTGAAGGACTTTGTGGACTGGTGTGTTGGGTATGGGTTAATGTTGGACTTGTGGGCTTGGGCAGCATTGGGTTGGGATGTTTTCGTGATGCACATTTTCTTTGCATAAAGCTCTCTCTTATACATGAGTTGCTGTGGATTTGTTTCTCCAAAGTACCCAGACTAATACAGCATGCCATTCAACAGTTCAATCATCTCAAGCAGTATTGTACAAAATATCATTTCCAAATATCAAAATATCCAAATCAATTTCAAAACATCTTCTTCCTTCTTGAATTCCTTGATATCAACCCCTACCTCCCTCATTGTACCCCAAGGAATCCTTATTCTAGTTGTTGTCTTTCTAGGTTCCACTATCCCGGGTTTCATATTCTGGAAAACATACAAAAATACATAACAAAGATTCAAGAAGGCTACTCACAATGACAAAATACAACAGAGATAAACCCCAATATGAGTCAACCCCCAGATCAAGTCCAAAGAAGGTGTATCAGAGAGATCAAGTGACACGTTTTCACCGTTCAAGTCAGATTTATCATTAATCTACTATAGCCGTGTCTCTCATACTCTGCCTGACAACCAGGTTATTCCCATCCCTAAATTATGGTGAGAGGTAAATAGCCATAGACGTCTCCTGTGTAGATCCTACAAAAGTATTTTTGGGCTTCCACTGTCCTCCATAACCTTCTGCACATTAGAATCTCATAATTTAAGCTCTGATAGTATTCCCTCTTTCAGATATCGATTATATAATTTACAGTCCTTGGCTCATGGGTATTGGTGTGCTTCTTCCTTGTGGATTTAGTTGACATCTCACTTAGATGGTTTATAGTTTGGAAACAAGCCTGCAAGACCCTTGTTATTCTATCTGGTAGCCAGGCACCATCTAATTTCTTCACCACACTTTGCTATAGCACCCATATTTTCTGTGTTTCCTTCTTGAGGGCAAGTATCAAACAGGGCCATGTTGTAAGAACTAATTGTTCTTATATTGGAGCTAGGATTAAGTGCAAGGGCCAAATCTATTCCGGAATCTATGTTTGTTTGTTTGTTTTTCTGCTTCTGACTCACCTTAGAGACATCCTTGTTAATTTGCGGTAGAAAATCTTATCGATCATCTCCCTGGAGCATACGGACCTTCTGTTTATAGTGTCATTGATTAGACCATGGCCCTACATTATAAAACACTGTTGAGAGAGAGGGAGATTGGACATGTGTAGGCTAACTACATATCGCAATACCTGGATTATTCACGTGTACAGAACAAATCCTGGATGCTATTTGCACAAACAATGGGAATTGACGGTCAGGTAAAATTTACAATGATATTCACTGACATTTTCAGTCACAGGTCTATCAGAATAACATATCAATACAGCAAGTCGGACAGCTAGCAGAGCCGCGGTCTGGACAGCAGCGTGACCCCAGCTCTCCGCCATCCCCCCGCCGAGGCAGCAGCCCGAGCTCAGCCCGCGGCCCAGCTGAAGCTGCCCAGGTAGCAGCGCTGTGGCCGGAGAAACGCCTGCACGGACAACCTCGTGGCCGACGGGACCTGTCAGGCCGCGGCCATCGTGGGCTCTAAGGACTCGCCCTCTGTCTGGGCCGCTGTCCCCGGGAAAACCTTCCTCAACATCACGCCAGCCGAGGGTGGAGTTCTTGTTGGCAAAGACCGGTCAAGTTTTTCAGTGAATGGGCTGACACTTGGGGGCCAGAAATGTTCTGTGATCCGGGACTCACTGCAGCCGGACTGGGAATATACCATGGATCTTCGCACCAAGAGTCCTGGCGGAGCCCCCACCTTCAACCTCACTGTCACCATGACTGCCAGGACGCTAGTCCTGCTGATGGGCAAAGAAGGTGTCCACGGTGGTTCGATCAATAAGAAATGTGATGAAATGGCTTCCTGCTGGCGGCGTTCCCAGTACTGACCTCATCTGCCCCTTCCCCCCACCACTGCCCACTGCTTTTGCAACCCCCACCCCCACTCTTCCCATACACACACACACACCATTTTTATTTTGGGGGCCATTACCCCATACCCCTTATTGATGCCAAAACCATATGGGGTGGGGGTTGAGGCTGGATGGACAGACACGCCCCCTACCCATCCCTCCTCTTCTGTGTGGTTGGAAAACTTTTTTTTTCCTGAATAAAAAAAGATTCTGCTAAAAAAAATACAGCAAGTCGGGCATTGAAGTAGTAAGTAAATGTTAGTCTGCCTACTGACAGTTCGGTGCTCTTGGTACAACTGTCTGCTTCTTCACACACCATGTAATTTCAGCCTTAAACCCTCAGATTACAGGTGTGTTTGAGGTGGAGTCTGGTTCACTTACTGCAGTTTCCACATCGGATCCCTCCGGGGTGGCCTTTGGAGCATGTTGTGCACCCTGAAGATGCAGAATTCCATGTCCCAGGGTTCTATGGCACTTGACCAAGGTGGCTTATTAGGTGGATAGTAGCAGATGTACTGCCCCTTGGGGTCCTTAATGGAAAAATGGGGTCATTTTCCTCCTGTTAGGAAATTGGTCCTTCCCCTTGTTCTAGCAGCAGACTTGTGCTTGTCTTCTCCCAGCTGTCTCTGCTCCCTCTCCTCCCTCCTGACTTGACTTTCCCATCCGCTCCCCCATCATGTGATGGGAATGTCTGCCAGTCCGTGGGGCCTCCTCATACCTGCGCATGGCAGTCAGTTTAGCGGTCATCCTCCCCTCCGTCTGTCTCAAAAATCTGACCCCAGCTGACATGAGGACCCCTCTGTCAAAGTGACCTTCAAGATACACACAGAGAGGATGGCACACGGTTGGCAGGAGTCAGGCTCTCTACCATGCTGCCTGGCCGCCCTGGCCAGCAGACTGGATGGTCTGCTTGCCTGAGGCTGCGCCCACCATAGGTTTCTCTTGGCTGTAATCTTTATGGAAACAGATGGCCAGGCCTTTTGTCTGAAGTGTCATGGGTACTATAGACATGCTTTTCATTGTTAAGCGCTGGTGATTTAATCATGCCTCTCATAGAAAAAGAATGTGATGCCCTTGTTCTCAAGATCTATCATTTCCTTTAGTCTCCCCCGCCCACCCCAACCAGGACACAAATGACAGAAAGCCAAAGAAGTGAAAAAGATACACACCACTCTCTCATGGCTTGCAACTAAACGTGTTGAGATTCTTGAATCTACCTGTTAGGGCTCTTCCTCAGAGTTCAAAACCACGAGCAGCACTGCAGGAGAAAGACAGCGCCTTTTCCTTCCATTAGGAGTCAACATTGACTCGATGGCAGTGTGTTTTTTGGAAGGCTAACTTCTGGGCTTTTCTCTTAAGATCCATAATTGCTTTCCAATGATGAATGAAACCTCAGAGATACTCAGGCTTCTTAGAGAGAGCTTTCCACAGAGCAGCTTGCTTTTAGAGCCCAGCACTGATTTCTAGTCCTTTCAGGTAGAAGTTGCAAATTGAGAGAGGCTTTTCCCTCCTCTCCAAAGGACATGAATAAAGGAAACCTTTTTTAAAAAAAATCATTTTATGGAGGACTCTTACAGCTATCGCCATCCATCCATCCATCCATCCATCCATCCATCCATCCATCCATCC